CCTAGCCGCTGTGTATCAAGATAAAGAGCACTACTTGCATCAAAAACCCAACCGGCATCAAGGGAGGCACACCAAGCAACACAAGAAACAGCTGGTCCAACTCTGCACCAAAGCATGGCAGGCACCCTTGCACCGATGGCAACCTCACAGAAGCGGTTATCAGTGCAGTGCCTGTGGCATCAGAGTTCACCAGGCACTGACGGCCTCCACCATTGAGGAACGCATCCAACAGCCTTGCCCGCAGATCCAGCTTGATGAGGCACACCCTGATATGCACAGCCCACACAAGCCAATTCATCGCAAGGCCACCAGGGCGCAACTGATAGCAAGTTTGCTTGAGAAACAGGCTCAACAGCAATCCGACAGTGCCCACACCCTTGACGAAACCAAAGGGTATCTCAGATGTACCACTTGTGGACAGAGCATTCACAAAAGGACGAATGAAGAAGCTTTCAACGCCTATGTCCAAGGTCCCTGTGTCAACCAGCCTTTTGAACATGACCACAGTGGACATGCCACCCATCTCCTCTGGCAACGAGGGGATCGCATCCACTGCAAGCACTGTGGCACCCAGACGCACACAGATGCTCAAGGCAGGCCCATAGCAACAGCCACCTTGCAGAAAGCGTGTAAAGGGGCGCCCATTGCGGCCTCCCCGCCTTTGTCTGAGTTCTTCAAAAGGCAAACTCCAGCAGCCAAGACTCCAGGAAAGCCTGACACCGAACCAGGAGAGTCAACAGCACATGGCTCTGGCACTCTAAGCAAGACCCAAGCAGGCCATGATACCCAGCCAACTATGGGCTCCCTTGCTTCCGCACCGAGCCAGACCAATCTGTCTCCTTTGGTTCCAAGGCAACTTCACTACCGCGCAGCCACCAGACAGGCAGAGGCACCCATGGCCTCCCACAACCGAGACAGATGCGGCGACACAGGCCATGAACCCCAGCCTGAAAGTCAAGCACCATGGCAAATGCCACATGCACCGCAGGCTTTGCTGCCACATGCTGCCAAACGCGGCCGGTCATGCTCCTCAGCTTCCTTTGGAGAAGACACCGAAAGTGGAACAGAAGACCCAGTGCTCGACGTCGACTACTTCTAGCCTGCAGCTGGCAGCCGTGCGGCATAGGTCAAAGAACCTCTCGTTCAGCAGACACAAAAGGTCTTTAGGAAAAAATACATACATACATACATACATACATACATACATATATATATATATTCTATGTAGAGTTTAGCAACTCGCTCGCTTTAATTAGCTTTGTTAGCAGGCATATTGGTTTCCGACCTGGTCTCTTAGGACCCTGACTGACTACTGAAACCGGGGCAACATATTGTCAACACGTGACGAGATCAGGATATTAACTTGATCGTTTGAATACAACATGGCATCGGCAAGCGACAAGTCCGGAACATGTATGAGTAAAGTTGTCCATGTTTTTGTGCCCAGCAATTTGTTATATTCTCATTGAGACGAAGCTCAGGAGCTGGCTTCACTGGCAATGGAAGACCTTTTGCAGGGAGACCAATGCACTTCGGACATTGGTGATAATTAATGTATATAGATCAAAAAGGAACAGGATCAAGCAAATAGAACAGGATCAACACGAAAAAAAGAAGAGGGTCAAAATGGTCTGGTCCGCTGGCCCTTGTCCCGCTGGTGGTGGTCTTCTTTTGTCCTTTTCCCTTTGCCTTCTCATTGTTTCTTGGCGGTCTCTTGCTTCTTCTAGTCCATTGGCATCAATTAATGATCTTGGGGTGTTTCGAGAGTTCTGCAAAAAATCACGAGAGTTGTGCATTTAACGTGTTTTGCGAATTTAGCAAGTTCCGCAAGCATTGGCAAGCACTTGGACGGCACAGATTGTGAAATAGCAATACCTTGCAGACACCCATTGGCTTGTGTTTTGCTGGGCTCTCGGGTGGGCGCTGTGCCCTTTACCATCCCCCTCCAGCACCAGGAAAAAGGAACTATGCATTCTTCCAAAACTATTGCGCGTGCCACGAAAAACAAAGTCAACCCACAGCACACACTCGAGGTAGGGTTCGTTCGGCCTGAATGCCACTTGCCCTGAAGCTGCCCTTTGTGTTTCAAAAAGGCTAAATAGACAGGGTTGACGTGTAGCTGCGTCTGACAGAGCACAAGCAAGTTCGAAAGAACCGGAAGTTCCAGAGTTCTGAAATTTCAAAGTCTGGACGAAACCGAGCAGATCAAGGTCTAGAAGTCTCAGAACCGTTGTGATGGCCAGCAGCTTGTTCTAGTTACAAAGGGGTTCGCTCTGGGGGGGCGTGGCACCCTCCCCCACAAGCCTCCATCGGTGCCACGAGATCGGCACCGCTTCTTCAAAAGAGTGCCCCTGCAAGACAATCAAGAACCTTGAATGCTGTTTCTGTGTTGCTTAAGTGGCGTGCTTGCCATGACATCTGCGCTTTGAGGTTCACAAAGTGCCACAAAGTGCTGCGACCTGCCACAAAATCTGCACTTCAAGGTCTGCCAAGCGCTGCCTGTCAGTCCACAAATGTGACGGAAATGTACGGGGAATATTTTAGTTGATTACGTTCTTGTTTTTTCGACCCCCGTTATGATATGTTTAGTTGATGCCGGTATCTAAATTTCAAAAGTTTTTTTTTCTGGTCGCTGCTTTCAGCAAATTGCTGCACGTGCAAAGCTTGAAGCAAAGAACTCGCTATGTTGTTTGTTGCTGATTGCCCTTAGATACTCTCAGCTCTGTATTTTCATATGGGATTTCTGGGCTTGGACGGTTTGTTGGAGGAAGGCTAGCATTAGATCCTTTCGACACTGGCGACCCTGCTCCACTGCAATCAATCCTGCACACTGCAATCTTGAAAATACTACCATTGATATATCCACAAGATGATATGAACAGCTTTTGCGCTTATGCTTTTGGTCTAACAGGACCTGGTGGGCATTCAACAATTGCAATTATTTCTGAGGGTTTTGCATGGTTGTGCAAAATTTGCATGGTTTTGCCTGTTCGATTCGACTTTGGATTTTGGGATTGAGTTTGCTCTTAAAAGCAAGGACTTTCCTGAAATTAATTGTTGTTTCGTTTTACCAAGGAGTCTTTAAAGTCGCCCACCCAAGCTGCTGAATTTGGTGCCTGCAAAACTGGATTTGGGGGTTGGCCCTTCGACGACGGAGCGCCTTGGCTTGAAGCATTGAAGGGCCTTTTGAATGGTAGTAATGCCCTTTGTTCCTAGTAGTAAGGCCAGGAGCCCCTAGTAGCGTCCTTGCTCCTACTAGCGATGCCAGGAGCCCCTAATAGCGTTCTTGTTCCTAGGCTAGGGCTTTTGCAGGTTTGATCTCACTTCGAAGTGCTTGCACTTGCTTGCGTACTAGAGCTGCTACAAGTGTCATTTACCTCCACGAGACGAGGCCCAACACATGTAATAACGGTACGGCTGACAGGACCTCAGGACATGGAAAGTAGTGTCTCGCCGCCGGCATCAGTACATAGAGGTCTTAGGAATTCCTCACTATATAAGACACCTTATCTAAGCAAAAAATTCATTTATATCTATCTCACTTTGACTTTCGTTCAGACCTCCTGGCCTCCAATCAGATTCAAAGGCTGCAAGTCATCGGAAGATCATGTGACTCAGGTCTTCATCGAGTCAATGTACCGAGCCTTAGCAAGGCCTTTCGCCCATGCAATCGCTGGAAACTTCAGTTTCTCCAGCTTTGGAGCAGAGTCTGGGCATTTCCGACTCTCGGCAAGACGGTGAGTGAAACATTGGTAAAGTCATTACTCATGATCCCCAAAAGCAAGACTATGACTCGATGTATGTGGCTTGCTTGGCCTCGTCGTGAGTTTATGCATCCAGGTGGTGTGTTTGGTTGCAGCGGCACGACTCAAATTCTGCAACACCTCAGGACTGGAATTTCTCGTGGACCCATCCATCCAGGAGCCTACGATCATATCCACGCCGGCCGTGATTTATCCCCGAGGATTCAATTTGGCAGTTAGTGCTTCGTCTCTTTAATCTTGCAAAGGCTCATTCGATCTCACACTCAGATTCGTTTGAAGTCAATTGAGCGTGGAAGGTCGGAATTGTGCATCAATCTCGAATGCGTCAGACTGATGGATTCTGGAACTGAGGTCCAGCAGGTGCTTGCGATATCCAATATCTAGATGGAGTTGTGGAACTTCGCAACACTGGAAAGTTGCCCTTCGGTCAAAAGCTGGTGGTCCAGGCCGTGGTTGTTTCTTTTGACAATTGTTTACTACACATATTTACAAACTGCTGCTTTGAGTTTCAGTGTTCACTGTGTTTACACTGATGTATGTCAGGTGTCTCCCAAGGGTGCCGCGGTGATTGTGTAGTTGCAGAACAACATTTAGCTTGAGGTTGATCCGAAAAAATGGTTGAAACAGATTGATTTAGTGGTGCACAGCCAGCTGAGCTGAGCCACACGCCAGCTGAGCCACCCCGTGTTGCAGGCTCAAGTGTGGTTTCAGAAACTATAGGTTGAGACACAAAGCCACTGGCCGTTGATTTTTTGTCAGACTGCTGTCAGTTTGCAGAAACATTGCTTCCATTTAGACTCTAGACCATACTCTGCAAGTGCTTTGTAGTGGGCAATCATCCCTGAGAATGAATAGCTAGCAAGTTGTAGTGCAGGCTATTCGTGCTTTCTGCACGACCACTCGAAGGCAATTGGCCTGCGAGTAAATGCCCCAGCTTGACTTGTGTCCAGCTTAAAGCTGTGGACACTCTGGGACGTTCCATCTGCGAAGTCAGTGCGACCATTTGAGAAAGGTGCATCGAAGCGCCTAGAAGCCAAATTTGCAGCTCTCACCGTACACAGGACGCATTTGTGCTAAATTGTTCAATTGGGTCATAATGGGTCTAATAAGATAAGTTTGTCACCCTACTCCTAGACTTACATCACATGCTTTGGTGCAACCAAGCACCTTCGGCTGTTCAAATCATTCAAATCCAATCTAGCCCTACCACTATATATGGAGTAAAACCTGTGACAGGTAGCCCACACCATGATGCTGGAGCAGCAGGCGGCAACCTTAATTGACTGGCCAGCAGTCCACTAGCTGCTAGTGACCAGGGTGGGGGGCTATTTGATTGTCAAGCTGGCAAGCTGCGACTGGACAATGAACTGGAATAGATTGAATACATTCTCGGGAAAACTGCAGGGAAAAGATCAGACAAATTGCAATTGGCTGTTCAATTCGATTCAATCATCAGCCTTGTATACGATGATTTCCACGCAAGCTTCCAAGCTTTCAAGCTTCAGCCAAGACATGTACCGTTTGGTTGAGACTTGGTCATGTCTTTGGTTTGCGAGGAGAAAAGGCCAGAGAAATGATCCATCATGACAGGCACTGCGGCCGTTTCAGATCTCTCTCAATGAGCTTCTGAAAATGGTTCGGGGCTTGGACACTGCAACAAGTTGCAGTCACTGTTTGTTTCATTGATGTATCTAATGATTCCAATGTGTTCCTGCGTTTTCACACATTAGATAAGGGTTAGCTGGATTTGTTCAAACTGTTCTCCCTCGATGGAGGTGCTGAGACTGGAAAACGAGAAAGAAGCGTCCCTGGGACAGCGCATGAAGAAGGATCCCAATGTTTGGCCAGAGCCTAGTTCTTTCAAGGTCTTTCTGTTCTCAACAGCAGAGCTTGATGCATCTTGAGATGCCATTCACTGTTGGACATGGCTGATGCTTACTTCAAAGACACAGATGCATGCATGAATTGGGTTCCGAGTTTAGTCTGAGAAAGCAAGGGAACGTGCCATGGCGCGATTCTTGCTACTAGGGTGCGGGCTAAGTGCAGTTGTTGCTTGGCGGCCAGTTGGATGAGTCAACTCTGTTTATGATATATAGGAGTACGTAACATCATCATTCGATAAAACAATCTTTTATGTTGCAATCTTGCTCGAAGCTCGCTGTACGTTCTTTTGCTTTCATTCAGGTCAGTGCACAATGCCCGGCAGAGCTGCCCAAGTGCGCTGGTAGCTTACCTCCCATGATTGAAACGAACATGGGACAGTTTCACGCTGCTGGACAGATGCAAGGGCAATACAGTTGGCAGAGCGGACTTGTTATTCATTCAGTGCAGCGTTTTGGATGTCTACAGGAGATGATTGGCCAGACATGCCGCAAGCTTGGTGTTCATCGACTTGTTGGTTACTTGCAGTTGAGGGCCGGACCGAAGCAGCACAAACGCAGAAAGCGATACCAATAGCAGCCCGAAAGCCGATTCCGATACCAATCCGTTTGAGGTGGTGACTACTCCTGTTGCAGCGGCATGCAGACCAACTGCGGAGCTGGATCTGTTTGTGCTGGTGAAGAGTCAAGGCCGCCGACTGTTGAGCCGTGTGGTCATGTGTGGCGATTGCCCGGCAAGCCGTGTATGCTGTGCAGTGTATGATACAGTAGATATATATACACAAAGACAATACACAGATGACCGCCATTGAAATATAAAGTAAAGTAGGCCCATTTAAATGGGGCCTTACCTTATTTCTATCGTTCTTTTCTGCAAACAGCTTTGCTGTAAGGGGTTCTCAATCCTTGCATAGAAGCAATCCTGGGCCAAGAGGATTTCTGGATGCTGGGCTGAGATGATTCTGCTTTGTCTCCCATGGTACTTTTGGCTTTGTCACCCTTTGTCCCTTTTGGATCCCGGGCTGAGATGATGCTGAATGCTGGGCTGATATGATTTTGCTTAATCTCCGTTTGCTTGCACTTTTCCCCAAAGAGCTTTGCTGGGAGGGGTTCTCAATTCTTGCCTTTGTCTCCCACCGCTTTTCTTGAATGCTGGGCCGCGATAATTCAAATTCTGCTTTGTCTCCCTTGATGTCCTTTGTCTCCCATGATTCTGCTTTGCCTCCCGCTGCCTCCTTGATTTCCCATGGCTCAAAACTGGCGGCAAAAAGACATCACTGTTTGGGGTTTATGCTGCTGTAATTGGATTGTCCTGTTTGTTTTCTTCTTTACAAATCAGGTGTGGCGCAAGATCGATTTGCAGTGGCATTTCTTCAGAGTCCAGGTTGCAGATGGACAAGTGCCATGATAAGACATGCAAATGGCAAATGGGAAAGATTCTGTTCTGAGGTTTGCGGCCCTTTGTCTGAGTGTAATGGGCTTGGTGCTGTTTGCGAAAGTGCTGGAGTTCCTGAGACGAACAAGGAACAGCTCGTACCTAGCAAGCAGATGGAGCCCATGCAGCCGATGAAACCCATGGCTCCCATGAAGCCAATGGAACCAATCAAGCCGATGGAACCAATGGCCCCCATGCAGCCAATGAAGCCGATGGAACCAATGGAACCTATGCAGCCAATGAAGCCTATGGCTCCTTTGAAGCCAATGGAACCAATGAAGAGCTTGCCTAAGGATGACACGTGCGTTCAGGCTTTTTGCTTTTGATTGCATAGAGAAGTGGAAACGCAGACATGCAACCGAATGCAACAGATGGAAGACATCCTAGCATTCTTGTATTGAATGCTGCACAGTAGACTAGGGCACGCATTCGTGGTAATTAGGCAAGAACGTGAAAAATCAAGGTCTACTGTGATTACTACTGAAAAGTCAAGTATTCCAAAAAGAAGACAAAACATGCACTAATGCTACAAGTTCCGCCGACCTTCTGTTGAAGTGCGCTGCACATTGATTCCGTGGGTAAAGATCGAGGTTCCAGCCCTTCAGACCTTCAGCTCAGAATCCACCAACAGAGGCCTGCCTGGGGATGCAAGGATACATACATTTAAACATGAATTCAAATGTCCATCTAGATGTGCATTATTCTTGAAATATTGCATTTGCATTGCATTGTGTTATTTCCGTTCATGGCACAACTATATACATATATATATATATACATATTACCTTTAGTTTGAATTTGCTGCTTCGAGTTGCATATTCACTGAGAAAGTATGGGTTCATAGATTTGGCTTACTCGATCATGTGTGTATGCAGTGAAGAATGATCCTTCTGATTCTCTATAACATAAATATATGTACGAAAGTAGGTTCCCACTGCCAGGTCCATAACCATGGTTGCATCATTGGTTCGTCTTGCAACTTGTTTGACTGAGAAGGGCTGACTTTGTTGGATTGCTACTAGTAGCTTCTTGCTCCTAGTAGCTATTTGCTCCTAGTAGTAATGCCCTTGTTACTAGTAGCGATGCTCTTGTTCCTAGTAGCGATGCCCTTTGTTACTAGTAAGCTTGTTGTTCTTTTGAGCAACATTACGTTGGCATCATGTTCACTAGTGTGGCTTTAGAGACGCAGTTGCAGGTCTTGCGTGCAAAGTTGCATGTTGGCCGTTGTTTGCATAAATTGGATCATTTGGTTTTACTCAAGACTCAAGGATGGCTTCTTGCTTTGCATATTTTTCAGATTGCAAGTTCAACGCAAACAACACCTGAGGTGCTGGCCATGCTGCTTCCAGTATTGATGGTTTGGAGATATGCTGTCCCGCTGGTTGCCCTCAGTGCTCTGTGAGCGCGTAGCTCGGTCCATTTGTTGGGTAAATCCCGTATATTTACCAGGCTACCGCCTGCAGCCGCCGACCCCAAGGGAAAATGTAGTGGCAGGGTTGGGTCCCGGGATGGTCGCGGGCGGGGTCCTGCCAAAATCTAGACAAAGCCAAGAGCATTCCTACGAAAATGCTGGAAAAGCCGTATAGGCATGAGTACAACAATGGAAAAAAATAGGTTAGCAAAAGGTTACCAATTTTTGGGGGAAATCTGGGAACCTAAAAACAAGAGGAAGCGCTAGAAAATTCTTGGAAAAGCATCCAGCCGAAAACGTAACAAAATCTAGACAAAGCCTAGAGCATTCCTAGGAAAATGCTGGAGAAGCCTTTGAAAATCCCATAAATCCAACAGAAAACGTGACAAAATCTACGAAAAAGCAAGGGCATTGGCCGGGACCACGCCGCGACCAGCCCGGGATTCGAGCCCGGGACCATTTTGGACCGTGCTTATTTTCCCGCGCGGGTGGAGAGGGTGCCCCAAGATGTAAATCAATTGGGATGGCAGAATCTTGGACAATCCAGGTCGCCATCAGGTCGCAATCAGGTCGCAATCCCGTCAAATCCCGTAGCTATCAGGTCGCTTTTAGGTCGGGACTTCGTCACTGCAACAAGGGTCCGGAGGGGTAGGGGAGGTAAGGTCTAGGTCTAAGGCTAAGGACTAGGTCTAAGGCTAAGGATAAGGCTAAGGCTTAAGTCTAAGGCTAAGGCTAAGGCTTAAGGCTAGGTTAAGGCTAAGGCTTAAGGCTAAGGCTAACATCGACAGTCACGCCTCACCCCACGGTGTGGGGTCGGCGGATATAATTACTCTATATATACCTGCCTAGCTTGACTTTGGTGTTTGCTCAAGGTCATCTCTCAACGGTGTGCTGAGTGCCACCTGTGTTTGTGGTGATGATTCCCTGCTAATGGCCAAAGGGAATGCAGTTCCTTGTCGGAAGTCGAAACTATGAAAGTCTTTTCCTTTGAGCCACGTGTGAAACCATTACGAACAACTGCTTTGGTCTCAGAATGATTCAACACAAGCATCCAACCAAGGCCTCTCCCATTGACAATGAAGGCTGTGATGTGGGAGATACCTGCAATTCCCGAGGCGCCAAAAGATCCTATTAACGTTTTGGGACCGCCTTCGCATCACTGACTCTCGGATGTCCGTGATGATATGTCAAACAGATGTCAACTTCAGGGTGTTTCACTCATAATGGTTAGGCAGAGAAAAACCATTCCGCAGTATGCAGGCAGCTCTATGGTCAATGGCCAAAAGTTCTGTTGTCCATCAGGCCATAGTGTGAGTGGCCAAGTTCCAGCGGGGTGGCTTTAGGACATGTAATTTTGAATGCAAGCACACAGACAAAGTGGAATCAAAGAGTAGGCAGTACAGGTTTTGCCTAGTATCCAAGATTTGCCATCACAAACCTGTGCGACAGTAAGCACGCAAATACGATGCAGCGTGTGTTTGTTGGCAAGCTGTGGTATTGTACATTGACGTTGCAACAATACCTGGAGGTTGCCCCGACGACTGCAGCCTATCGGTGTCTCAGAGCAAGGTGATATCTGCCTCTTGCCAGTGCCCCGTTGATGCTGTGAAGGCTCACAGTGTAGCACTGAAGCGTGTCCCCCTTTCCTTGTTATGTCTTGCATTTGTTTGGTGCAGGGCTGGACTGCAACGGAGAAGTGCGCCGCATTCGCAGGGCTTGTCCTTCTCCTTGGTGCAGGAGGGGTCAAGGAGGTCAAGTGTGGGCAGCTTCCAAATCATCGAATCATTTCGAACCATAGAGACCAGCTACGCTCTAGTTTTGATTGTGATTGAAGATGATTGATGATCGTTTCAATATTATGGTTCCAGGAGCTTATGCCTTCCACAAGCAGCAGTCCCCAGAACTCTCCAAAAAGCTGTTGCAATAAGATGTATATACACATTGCTCATCCTTTCTTGAGAACAACGAACAGAAGCTTGGCTGTATGATCAAACAATATCAACCATGCCAATTGCGGAGGTCATGCTACAACTCGTTGCTTTCTTGGAAGAGTACTCTTAACGTCTTCAACATTTACTGGAGTTACAGTTCAATCAACTATGCGAGCAACGAGCACATTGAAAAAAGGTCACTGCTGAAACTGCTGAAAACTTTGTTTGCTGAGATTCTTAGATTAGCACGGGTCACGGTGTACTCCACTGTTGTACATAATTCGTTTTGATTGACGATAGCGCGAGCCAAGGAGAAGACGTTCTATTGTGATGAGCAGAGTGTATCTCATGACAGACATGTCGCAAACTTTTGGTTGTAACATCAGACGCTTTGCTGTGGAGTGCGATGCCAGTACTGTATTTTTGACGCACGCCACATTTAGAACTGCGGCAATAGACAGTATTTGAAGAGAGAGGACAACAGCTCATGACAAAGCCATGGACACTGTGAATTCCACGATGTCTACTGCCGTGCTTATTTTTGGTAGAGCGGTCGGATTTTGTGGCCTGCATGCATTCGGTCCTAATGAAATGCAAAGATATGCAGGTCAAACAGCTGTTGCCACTCGAAAGTGCGTTTGGCTAGGCACGTTGCTGACTCGTGCGTCCTGCGCCATTGTGCAGACTGCGCAGTCTAAACCTTCTTGCGTTAGTTCGGAAAAGCTAAAGCCTCGTGCACCGCATGCACTTGTTTTATCCTGTTTCCGCAGATACGCATTGTGTGATTGAATACGCTTCCCTCACTATGCTGTCAATTTTGCCTCTTCAATGCACCAACACAGGTTTTACAGACCCATGAGAGAGGACCTTCTCACCTATGCAGCCCAGGCAAGGTGCTAGTGCACAGCTTTTGAGAGATACTGCAAAATTTCCTCTACAGATTCAAGGCACCCAGGTGGTCAAAATGACCATTTTGTAGAGAAAAAATTGGGTTTCTACAAAATGAACCACCTGGGTGGTCAAATCTGTAGAGTGATCAGGGTAGTTTTTGAGATTTTTAGCAAACACATTATTTACTTGGGGGGATTGATTTTATAGAAACGTCATGTTCTTACGTATCTTTCCGTTGACTCGAGCATGTGCACTCACCCACCATAATTTTGTAGAGGGTTAGAACCCATTTTGTAGAGATGGTTGGTTAAGTATCTTTCTGTTGACACAAGGGTGTGCACCCACCCACCATAATTTTGTAGAGGGTTTGAACCTTTTTTATAGAGATGGTTGGTTAAGTATCCTTCTGTTGACACAAGGGTGTGCGCCCACCCACCATAATTTTGTAGAGGGTTAGAACCCATTTTGTAGAGATGGTTGGTTAAGTATCTTCCTGTTGACACAAGGGTGTGCACAGGTGTTGAACCATGTTGAACCCATCTTGGAAGCATGGGAAGGGTGATGGTTTTGAGAAAATCTAAACAGTTATATAAACCTTGTGATGGAGTTCAACTCCAGCACCAAACCGTTTTGGAATCCAAACCTTTTTGGAAGTCAAAAACTTGGAAATGCATCGGGAAACTCATCGGGAAATGCATCGGGAAATGCATCGGGATGTGGCTTTGCATTTGTTGGACTGTCGGTTGCAACTTGGAGGGATTGATTTTATAGAGAGCGCACTTTTCTGATAAATTTCTGTGAGCTCACTATGGCCAACCCACAACCCAATATTATAGACTTAAGGTTTCTATCTCGGGGGGGCTGGATTTTGTAGTGGATTGGTTGGGTTGAACCTGGGGTACCCCATCTGTAGGCATAAAATGGCACCCCCTGGGTGGTCATGTGAATTTTACAGGGGATCTTTTGAGTACTTTTTAGAACTTTGAACATAGTAACATAGTAGCGCCTTGGGAAAGAGCTGAGGATGTGATGTACCTACCCCTTCTGCATCAACGGCTTTGTGATCAGTTAGGCAAGCCGAGTTTGGAAGGGTTTGCTTGTCAATTGGACGTATGATGATGCCTGCCTGGGATAACACAGCATGATGTATCTAGGTGATCGCAGCGGATGCCGTGTGATGACAAGGAGCCGGGAGACACTTGGTTGATTATTGCCCTATATAAATTTCTATGGACGGCAGTTTGCGATCTTTGCCACTCTTTCTCACTCAACGGCAGCTGGTTGCTTCAACCTGTTCCCCGTTTTGAGATGCTTCGAGGTATGTGAACTATGCGCGCATGAACCTCCACTTGTCCTCACCAAAGGCGGCCCACATCATCCTGACACCTTTCTTGAGCACCGAAATATGTATATATATATTATATATATATAAGAGGTGAAACATATGTGGCCGTGAAGGACACGTTTTGCAAGCAGGTCCAATTTGTTTGGTGTTGCCAGTTCAGGCAGCTGAGCGCCGAGGTCTCCGACTTCAGGCCAAAAGTTTCTTTGCAAGACAAGGGAAGAAGAGCAGAGCCTTTTGTGAGACTTGCAGAACTCCATCAAGAATAATTAGTAACTCACCAACTGGGCCTATGCTTGTGAGGCAATGCTTGCAACTCAGACCGAGGCGCAGAGAATGAGCTTGTTCATGCTTGTTCTATCTTTTCATGTTCATTCCGCAACTCATAACCAGATAACATATGTTAGGGAGTTATAAATAGAGACATGCCGTTTCCAACTTTTTCGTCACGCCTCACACCTTTGGAGGCGGCATTGTACTTCAAGTTGAACCTTGGAGCCCATCGCCAAGGCGTTGTTAGCCGCGAAGAGGCTGCCGAGCCAATCGAATTGAGTCGCAGATGCGCACTTTGCAACTGGTGGAGAAGCAATGAGAAGCACATGTTTGCTACAGCAGCTTCCACATCATGTCGAGAGGACAAGGAGGTTTTTGGACTTCTGCTGAAGGCACTGAAGAACTTCAAAGACATGCATTATGGCGAGATTGCTGATTGTTGGGCCAGCCTCCTGGCTTTTCCGTCATTCAAAACAAACACAACTGCCCTTGACTCAGGTGTCTGCCTGGAACACCGGTCGCAACATTCTCTTCTTGGAGCGGTTTGAGCATTCCAGCCATGCCTTGAGCAAAGGTATCACTGATGTTTATTTGACTGCACTCACTGCTCGTTGAATTGTTTGAAATACAGTAGTCTATTTTGACCTTATTTTGTTCATCATTGTTATTTTGGTCTTATTTTTGTTGTTTTTATGTTAATGCATTATTAAGACCATATTAGCGCCTTATTAAGGCATTAATTAATAATAGATGCATAATATAATGGTGAGGGTGGGGGTAGTCAAGCAGGGGGTAGTATATAGCACTCCATGATGGATTTGCGAAAGCTCCGGCGTGGTGCGGCTCCGATTTGTCAGGGGCAGCTTTGCACCAGACCCAGACTTTACCACTGGCAGTGCTGGGCGCCGGCGCAAGCGGAGGTGGGAAGGTCTTTTGTGCTCTTTGCTTCAAAGATACTGTCGCACAAGCGTGTCAAGCAAGAGTGTTTAGTAGCTTCTTGTTACTAGTAGCGATGCCAGGAGCCCCTAGTAGCGTCCTTGCTCCTAGTAGTAAGGCCAGGAGCCCCTAGTAGCGAACATTGTCAACCTTCGCCTCCATGAGTCATGAGTCTTCCCAAGTCATGAGTTGCATTTGCTTATTTTTGTTTTTCCCATTGTTTCCTGGTGCACCAGTAGGAAATGCTGTAGTGCAGTGATGGCTTCTTACTTTCATGCTTTTGGTGACAGTTTGGTGTGGGTGTGGCTGTGCAAAAGCGTTTGAACGCGCCCTCATTTGGATGTCAGTGGGTATGTAATCCTTGAGCTTGCTAAGTTTTATTTCCAAAGTCATTTGAAAGGAAAATGTTCTAGAATCCCAGAAGCACAATTTGTGGAGTGGAAGACTCCGGAAGACTGAAATCTTTTCTATTGTCTTTTCGAGTCAGTTGCTGCGTGCACTGCCTGCGCTGTATGCAGGCCTCATGGCCCGACTGACTAAGCTGAAAAGGCTCTTTCAAAAGCTGCTTCGGGGCCGGCTCTAGCATTTTGACTTGTGCATGTTCATTTTCTTTGGGATTCACCCAGCCCAGCAGACAGTGGAAGACAGGAGCAGGTTCACCCTCCAAAACCCTTCTGTCATTCCCAGTCCTCTGATTTCTGATAGATCGATTTTAAACGATTATAAAAGGCGTTACCGTTACAGTAGACCGGACCTTGAAAGCCTTTGCCACGGCTTGCCGGCTTGTCAACATATAATTTGAGCAAGTTCTTGGGGTGGCCTTACAGAACATTGCACGTTGCATTCCCAAGTCGATCGTTATTTCGCACAGAAGTGCTCAGATCCCGGTCTGCCACATGTGGAAAGTTTGATTCTTATGCTGTATCTCGTTATCATCATCACCTCATTGCTTGTGTTTCCATGTCAGACCAAAACATGTTGGCTCATCCAAGTTGTTTCCTGTTTAGAAGCTATGCAGCCATTCAAATCAAACTGTGTAGCAGTATGGTACAGCACTTGACCCTGAGACACAGTCGACCCGATCCTTGGCCTGTCACCTGCCAATGGGCCGCCGGAAATCTGGAGTGTCGGAAGTGTGGGATCCAAATGATCCGAACGAGGCCCGATGTCTCACACATGTTCAGAAGAGTGTATTAGGTTGTTTCCAATCGCCATGTTAGGAGCTGAACAAGAAATAACAAGAATGAGCATGGGTTCGGATCAACAGGTAATACACCGGTGTATCTTGTTGTTCGATCTTTTTCGCGATGTCACGTCCAGATTAGGAATTAGTATTGTTCAAAAGTGCAGGATGCGGATTCTGATGAACTATCTGACCAAATTCCAGAGGCAAGATTCCTGGCACGGTCTAGTCAGTGCGTGAATAATTTTGAAGTTTGCCTGCGACACCGCACTTTGAACTTGAGCGGTTGCAGTCTCATCATTCAAAACCACCTTGGCCTCAAGTTGAAGCTTTGTTGTGAAGCTGGCTCTGAGCCTCTTAGCCTAAGTAAGGACTTTGTGGAATATTCACTGCTAACAGTAAGCTTCTCCAAAAATCTAGGGGGAGCTTCCTTTTTCTTCTCTCGCTGGACAACCTGACGACCCAAGTGCTTCCGCGACATCGGTCAGGGTTCCAACCATGTACAGGGCTTCAGAGAAGCGCATCAAAGGGAATGGCCCAGGACGCAGGGGAGGCTTTTGCTCCACGTTCAAAAGACCGGAACAGCATCTCAAGAGTGGCATTATCTACGAACGCTTCGGCACCGATGAAGGCACCTTTGGGAAAGGTGCGCCCATTGCATTTGTTGCCCTTGTCAAGCAACAAAGGGGCACAAACAACTCCAAGGGACTTGCAACACGAAATGGCAGCTCTTGTGGTCGCTGCATAAGCTTGGATTGTGCAGATCGTTCCAGGCGGAAGTTCATACCGCCAACCCTGTAGGAAAGCAAACACAGCAAGTTCAAACACAGAGCAAGCTCTTCCCTCACCCACTCTCCAGCGAAGAGTGTTGGCAAATTGCAAGAAGGTGCGAAAATTGGCCCCAGAGAGTTGAGGCCTGCTTTTAAAAGCCATATCAACATTGTTTTGCACTTGCCAAGTAAAGTCATCTGGATTGGCATCCCATGCCCATCTAGGGCATTGTTCACGAGGGGAGGCTCTCGGGCCTGGTTCACAGTCAGGTGGAGGATTGGCCGGGACCGAAGGCATGTCTTTCTTGCAGATTTTGTTGAGATTGGCGAGCCATAATTGTCTGGCAAACACATCTTGCTCTTTAAGCCGGATATCGGCCTGGAGCCTACGTGCCTGCTTATCAATCTGTTGCTTGGCATGCCAGTCGGCGAGGCGATTGAGAATGATATCATTCCGGTTGGAACCAGCAGCGACAGCCACTTCCTCGGTAAGGTCATCTGCCGGGATCTGCTCCAATAAGTGTGCTGGGCACCAAACCACTTGCAAGGGCGTGTCACAAAAGCCACGCCGATGATGCAGCATGGTGTGGAGAAAGCCCCACCAGGAGGCGTGAGTCCACTCCACTTGGACATTGTCAAGCCGAAGTAGCTCACGGAATTGGTCAACAACAGTGAGAGAGTCAGTATGTACCACCAATGGCTGCACTGCCATGGCAAAGGCAGTCAGCACAGCCCAAAGTTCGGCAGAATAGCTGGACAGTCTCCAGTGATGCACCTGACCAGAGGCAAGAAGGTGCTGTTCAGCAGATACTACGGCAAATGATGCCAGTGTAAGCCAGGGATGCCTTGAAAGCTGCACCGATCCGTCAGTCCAGACATGGACAGTGGAAGTCAATGGCTGTGACCACTCAGCAACCTGCAAATCACAGGTTCGGGACACTTGCAACTTGTTGCGTATAGCATCCAGTGGAATTTCAGTAATACCCAAGACGTCAAAGTTCGGGCCCAACGAGAAGGACGACGTCGGTTGTCTCAAATGTGCTGGTAGCGATTGACATTCTTCAACGAAATGATGCAAGGACTCTTTGGAGTCATGGCAGAAACGGCACATAGAACTCTCCACCAGGCCAGCTGCAGCTAGCCGATCAGCTGTGATAGTGCAACCTGTGATGGCACTTTCCCAGTGAAAAAGGAAGGAGAACTTGTCGTTGGGTATCGCCGCAAGTTTTCGCCGCAAGTTTTCTCCGCGCAGAGAGGGTCAGGCCCAAGTCCAAAAAGCCCAGAGCTTTGTCAATATCCTTCCTCGGCATAAGGCAGGCGATACAATAGCACTTGTGAGCAGCAAGGCTTTTCAGGATACACTTGAGATCTGCTGCTGAGAACTCCAAAAGGGAAACTTCAGGTGCACTGAGAACTGAGATGCCAAAAGGGCTACTCCATTCAATGTCAAGGATCTGACATGCTTGGCCGAATTGGGTCATCCATGCGTGCGGTGTAAATGGATCCTGCTCAAACATCCTGGTCCAGCATTGTCGAGCCATCTGCGACGAACGAAGAAAGCGTGCTGATTCAATAATGGTAGCCACTGCACGGAAGAGGAAAGGATCCAACTTGTGGGCCTTGTGCACGATACAAAGCAAGAGGTGCTTAGATCGCCACCTCGGCCGGTCCTGCCAAATAGCATCGGCTATTGCACTTTGAAGCCTGGCCAACAGCCGCTTCGGAATGAAGTTCAGTTGAGGCGCAAATGCAATCTGTGGCAGGACCTTAGTAGAGAGGATCTGCGCACGCTTGTCCCCATCACATGGGAGTGACCGAATAGCCTCGCAGTCCCTGAGAGCAGCCTGGAGCTTCGCACCAGGAAAACTTCCAACATTCTTCTTTGTTGTTTGGACGAAGGCACCAAGGATGTTGACCACCTCAACCAGGCGCATTTGCGGGAAGGCTTGCTTAAGGGCCTTCCGTAGTGGAGCATGGGATGCAAAAAGCTCACATTTACCTGCATTGAGAAACTGTCCACATAAGGAGTCCCAGAGTTCCGTGGCCCGAACTGCAGCAACCAATCCATCAATGGAGGGCATTCGGGTCCACAGGTAGGTGTCATCAATGAAAGCGCGAAATTCAACTCCATCAATGCAGGACACCAGCCAGGCCCAGATGGCCATATGAACATTAATGCAGAGCAAGCTAAGCGAGCATCCCTGAACAACACCGTTTGGTGTAGAGATAGCCTGGGCTCTCGTCCATTGTTTGAATGAAAGAAAGCGGGTCATCCGAGAATAGAGACTGAGGAAGCCACAGACAAAATTCTTCGGGAGGCCCAGTGCCAACATGATGGCAGCACATAGCTTCGGCATTAAACGATCAAAGCACTTGGCTTTGTCCAACTTCAGTGCTGCAAAGGAACCATCGTGGCTATGCGCCTGGTCGATTTCCATCTGGATGGTCATATGTACCTCAGACATCTGGCGCCCTTTAATACCTCCAGCCAGCTGTGGAGGCATCACCTCCCGCTGCCATTGCTGAAGCTGCATAAAGCGAAGACCAGTGTACAGAAGGGTAAAGACTGATTGAAGAGAGATCAATCGTTTCGACAGCGGTGCATCACTTCCATCCTTGTTGTGTATCACCATTCGTACTTGAGTGAGCACTGTTGGAAAGTCTGAAGCACCAGCCTCAATAGCATTGAAGAGATCAGCCACTGGACGAAATGCAGCTGGTGGAGCTTGAACTTCCCGTGTTTGCCATGCGTCAATGCCTGCAGCAGCATCAGGCCTCCGCTTGGCTGCCTGTTGCCAGAGCTGCCCTTCAGTGATAACCGGCAAAGAAATTGGCTTGCCTTTGTCATGGATGTAGGGCCAAACTTGCTGCAAGATCTTCATTTCCTGGTCATGACAGGTGTTGACAGCAAAAACTGTGTCCCACTTCGCTGCGATGGTATCCATGGCTGTCTGAGGATCATATATGATGTTTCCCAGATCGTCTTCAACCAGATTAGGAGGGATAACCCGCCCTTTCTTCTTGAGATATTGATATACAATCTTCCCAATGGTAGGCGATTGTGTAGCCTGTTTCATGGCATCTCTCCATTTCTGGATGGCAGCAACCTTGATGCACTTCATCTCATCCTTGATGGCATTAAGTGTAATTTCCACCAGATGAGGGAGATCGTGTGCAAATACTTGGCGAGTTGCAAATGGCACCAACTGTGCAACTTTCATGCGACGAAGCAGCTTATGTTGTGTGTTGCGAAATGTGCGCTCATCACCAGGCCCTGTAGTTGCTCGATCAAATCGTCTTTCCAGTTCACGGAGAGAGCGAAGCACTGACCGGAGAGCATGAAGGCGCGGGGATGCAAGCGCCCCATTGAGGTCCTGTTCGGCAAGAACTTGAACTTTCTGAAATTTCGGTGTACTACCCCGAGTTCGAGGACCTTTTTCCCAACTCGCTCCATTGAGCAACAGGAGCTTGACTGCATAGTCATTGTAAATTTGCCACTTGGCATCAGCACTGGATGCGTTATCATAGTCAGCTGCAAATGTGCCCCATAGCTGCTCACTGAAACTGTTGACAGGGCACCCGGGGTCTTCTGGATCAGCTAGCACAAC